ATGTATAATACAATGTAAAAACACTAACTGCTGCTTTGGGTCAATTTCATTAACTCTGTCTTTCATGCGCTTCAACAATCCCACATTTTTTCCTGTAAGATTTGGGCACCCATCTGTCGTCACTCCCGCCAATTTTTCCCATTTAAGTCCCAACTTATCCATGGATGCATCTACCTCGCTAAAAATATCTGCACCTGTTGTTGTTCCTTTCATTGGTCTTATAGCAGCTATTTCTTTAGTAATTTTGAAATCACAAGTAATTCCACGAACGAAAATAAGTAACTGAGCAGTGTCGCGTACATCACAACTCTCGTCTAACGCTAAAGTGAAGAAGTCAAATTGTCTGACATAATGCAGCAACTGATCTCTTAAATCTCCTGCGATACACTCAACCCTTCTGGTGACAGTTCTTCTCGATAGCGGAACTTGTTTAAAAGCATCTGTTTTATCAGGACAAACAATTGCTGCCGTCTCTACTAAACATTCTTTGACGAACTCCCCTTCAGAAAATGGTTTGCTGTTTTGAGCGATTTTGTGAGCTATTACGAAACTGGCCATGACAGCTGCATCATTAGATGCATGGAGTCGTGTGAAAAAACTTTGCTGTTTTTCGAGCTTTGCTACCATACTCTCCGCTGTTTGCGCCATTTCATTATTACTTAGATTTTTGTATTTTTTTGCATGTTTTGTCTCAAAATGCCTTTTTAAATTAAAAACCTTAATAACCGCGACCTTCTCCTTGCAAACCAGACAAACAGCTATCCCATCGACTTCTGTGAATAAATACTTCGCTGTCCAACTTTTGTTAAAAATTCTGCATTCTGTGTCAACTTTTCTTTTCTTGTTTTCGGCTGACATTTTGCCACTTTGTAGATCTAGCACAGGTTTAGAATTGACGCTACAGTTCAAGTTACATAAATAAAAGGATAAACAAAGAATAAAATAAAGCTGGGCGCAATTCAACAATTTATCTACATACCACTACTTCTACAATATTTGAAACGCTGAGTAGCGCAGAGCTGACTAGCCTAACTGTATCCTTCTTAATAATTGGGACACGAATCAAAACGCGACTCATCGAAATTACGCGCGCAAAATTCACGCTTCGATTACTCTGCTGTTCAGTAATCACGTGCAAAAACAAGCGCTGATCGTTGCGACAAAGATGACTACAGATAGCAGTTGGTACTATGCCATGGTCTAATCTAAAATACACAAAGCTACCAAAACGCTTATTTCTATTACATTAATGAAATTTGCCCTCAAAGTATATTTTATATGTAAATAAAAAATGTAAGTGTCTTAATTTAGAAATCTGCTCGCGGGCCGGATGAAACGTTGCCGCGGGCCGGATGCGGCGTTTCTATTGCTTATTGCTTATCTTGTCAATCTACTTCCGTAGCTAACTCTCGACACAGTAGTAACGCACACATAAACACATCCAACATATATGAAAGAACTTGTAAGTATATACAAGTCACAGTCCAATAAAATTCCACAACAAGGTAAAAGTTCCACAGTAGATAAATGGCAGTGTAACACAGTGAATATTCTCTCTATGATGCGTGTATGAACGGTGTGTCCACGGTAGTGTATACGTGAGTATGGTGGTTACAATATATTTGTGTCTCCAGCCCAACAACAGTACTTAAATTTAGCTACAAGACACAAAAACAATGAAAAAAATTTACTCAATCAGAACCTAGATTCCAATTATTAAATAATCCTAAAATTCCCTAAATATCTCAGCGATCCTAAATTAGCATAATTAAAACTCTACAATTTGCGAATCAATGCCGCAAAGTAACCGCAGAAGCTAACAAAGAAATTCATGTCACCAGGCCTCATTGCACTGTCTCCAATACTAATAAATAGGACACCCAGTATGATACAATAAGAATAACAAGGGCATGAATACAAATCAGCTGATATAAGAGAGTATTGTACCATTATTGCCACGACTTTCTCTCGGTCACGGGCTCTTAATATAAAGTTTACATTATAAACAAACAAATAAATTAACGAGAGCAAGTCTAAACATGTTTATCGGGACCAGAATAACTAAAATTGATAGGTTAATTCACGAAAGTTAAATTTCTGACTGTAACAGTTGGTGAACCTTGAAGATGCTCAAGGGTCAAAAACTTGGTACTCCCGAAGTATGTGAACCAAGATGGCGGACACTGGCACGTAGTAAGGGTGTACCAGGTTAGGGTTGGGCCATAATTTTAGGTACAAAGACTACGGGTGCCACTTGGCTAGTCCCCGAAGTCGTAATAGAACTAAAATAGGAAAAATTGAAATGAAATCATGACCTAACCCTAACCTGGTACACATACTATGTTCCGGTGTCCGCCATCTTGGTTCACATACTTCGGGATTACCAAAAACTTTATATCTCTCAATAAATCTACATCATATTCTACCATGTTCAAATATAATCTCTAGCATAGAGAATCTCCCATTTTACTGAGCTGACAAGTTTGGTTCATTCAATGCAGTACACATCCAGTGCAGTGTAATTTTCAATGTGTGCATACATTTTTGATTGACTTTTATTCTCGTTCTACTCAGCAATCATATATATTCGTCTTTTTTAATTGTGCATTTAAAAAGCAATATTTTAGACCCATTGAAATTATTTCTCCGGGACTAACTGGGCTCTGCGGTGTGGCGCATCGTGCTAAACGTTAGGATTACGCTCGCCACCGCATCTCTGATTACCCTGAGTGGTTCTCAGGTTTGAATCCCGGTGACCGTACATTTGAACCCATGTGTATATCCACGGGTTCAATCTGTATGCGGGTGCTAAAACCCATGGGTTAGGGTTAGTATGAGTTCAACTATGCGAAAAACAAAAAAAATCCATAGGTGCAATAGTATACAGGTGCAATTGTCGTGGGTTCAAATGTACGTGGGTTCAAATGTAATGGAACCTTGAATCCCATGTGCATGGGTATAGCTATGTGCGTAAAGATTGCTGGTCTCTTCGCCTCCGTAGGGTGGTTCACGCAACCGCTGGTCGGTCACGATTTCCTCCCCCAGTGCTCTTCAACCGGGTATACGGTATACCCAAGCCAAGTGTATACCGGTCCATTAGTTAGGTACAACTGATAAAGTCAGAGTCAGACCCAAGTCAGAGATTCTAATCTCTAATATATAATAAAATATTCAGCGAAGACAGCAATGCAAACGGGGCGCACATGAAATATAAAATGTCATTTACGCAAAGAACCGTGAGCACATTGTTACATCACAAATTATATAGATAATGCAGTCACATGTATGGGTTGGTGATTTCGGCTGCCATGCACTTCGTTTGATTTACGCTGAACACTATTCCCGTTGACGCTAAGGCCCTCAGTCAAATTTATAACTTGCGGACACTAGCCTATTATATTGCATGATGATATTGCAGTACAATATGTTAATAGAATTTCATATTTATTTAAGCCTTATATAAACATTGGTATTTGTAAGGTATACAAAGTTCTTGAAAAATTGTGAAAGGTATACCACGATAAAAAAGTTTGAAGAACGCTGTCCTCCACTATCATGGCCAACTAATCCCATACCCGCATTGACTGGTAACCTGACAAGAGGCCTTGGTTCGCCAGATGATTGAGCCGTCTAATCGACTTTCCTCTCCCTCTGGATAAAAAAGGGAATCCCTATTCTAACTAATAACTCTTCTTCTATGTATGCTTTTGGGCTTCTGGGGAGAATGCATATAATGCAAGGATGTTGCAGAACTTCTGTATCTGTATATCTATCGCATAATCCATAAATAATTTTTAACGTCTTGCACGTCCGTGATCACTTGCGCATCTGAATGCGTTTACTATCTACTCAGTTCTCTTGGCTTCGCCTTGCCAGTGACATATTCTGTTATGTTATCGAATGTATGAAATGCGACATCTATATTTATCATGGGTGAATATATTTACTTTTTTCGTTTCAACCGCAATTCAAACCATGCAATTGTATTTATATATCAATTATTTTGCCTATATCCGAATTGGCACACAATAATTTCCATTTTGCATGAAAAAATGCGAAAAAATTAAATTCCATTTTGGTACTGGAATTCAATTTGTCGATAGGTGTCACTATCTGTCGCCAATTCCTTCACAACAAAATGGATTTCCACAAACAATAGCACGTCGGTTGCCACTTGCTGGCGGTTGTAGCATCTTGCTACCTGATCATTGGGAAACGCTTGCCATCGTAGCTTTTATCACCTTGTCCAGATTTGAATCCCGTGGCGGATAGCTGTTATGCGAGACGATTGTTGGACTCCGCACCGTCCTGAGGTGTTACGCAACCGATGGTCTGTTACGACCAGTGTTCCCTCTAAAGTGTGCGCGCGCACAAAGCTTTCAGATGCGGCGCACACGCATGATTTACTGCGCACAGACGTATTTCGATGTAATGTAACAATGTCCCCGGTTGGCAGGTTGAGAAAGTGTGTTGTTGGCCCACCCTTTACCCGGTTAGAACGCCAAAATTTCTTTATTGGTTTTTGCACAAATATTAGTCATTTTCAAAAAAGTGCGCACACACCAAAATTTCCGCGCACACATACTACAAAAAATTAGAGGGAAAATTGGTTACGACTTCCCCAAACATCGAGACCATGCATCTGAAGCAAATACTTGGTTACTTCCATAGTATGTGTACCGGATTAGGCCATACTTTTATTCCGATTTTCCTTATTTCAGTTCTATTACGAGTTCGGGGACTGTCTCCATTAGCCAAGTGAATATACCCCTGCCCATAGGCTTCAGTTCCTTTACACAACTTGACGTAAAGTAAGCGAACAAAATTAGTTACCTCCATATTGGTACACATACTTCTGGAGCACCAATCCCATACCCGACACGAACTGGTAACAGGACGAGAGGCGTGGTCCGCCATATGATTAAGCCGTCTTATTGGTTTCCTCATCCTCCAAATATGAAAACCCCATTTTTACTTTTCAAATTCAGGCAAAAAAATACACAAAACAAGTTTATTTCATAAAAAAATACAGATATTCTACTGAAAAAAGTCAAAGCAGGAACTATGCAGAACTTCACGACACGACAAGTAACTTCAATGATACTAATACATAAATAAAAAAAGAAATTTTAGAAAGGGAAGTTCAAAACAAAGAAAATTCTCGATTGGTCAGGGCCATTTCATCAACAAACCTAAAAACAAAACATGGATTTTAGATGTATGTATGTACAAAATTATATACAACCATGAGTTTTTAATTTACGACAAAACAAATTTGAAAGGTTAGAGCATTTTGCTAAGCTGTAGGCGCAGCGGTTCTCAACCGGGGGCCCTCGGCCCCCTAAGGGGGCCACAGAGGAGTTGGAGGGGGGCCGACAAGGATGGGCTGAAATCTGAATTTTCTTTTCACTTTAAAAGAAATCTCACAGTTTTTCCTAGTTTGCTGCTCAACAAGGTTATTTCGCAGGGTGTTTTCGCTCTCTTTTGTGCAAATTGTTTTAACATAATGGGATTTGGAATCTATCAATGAAAATAACCCTATTAATACTTCTGGAATATTAAAGTGGGGGCCATGAGTGCTAAAAGCCTCCGAAAGGGGGCCACGAGTCATAAAAGGTTGAGAACCACTGCTGTAGAGGGTGGCCCAAAAGTAGGCATATAGTTATTTTATTTATTTTTTAGGGACACCCTGCCCATTCTAGAACTGATTGGCCTAAATGCGATTCTTTACTTATTAAAGTTAGTATTGATACATTTGACCATCATAAATTACTATTTGTGCGCTCCCGTAGTATTCGTACCAAGATGGCGCACAACTTGCTAACCCTATCCTGGCACACATACTATGTTTAGGTTGTGCGCCATCTTGGTCTGAATACTACAGGAGCACCACTATTTGTGCTCAAAACCCACCCTCCATATTCACAAAATTACATTCTCACAAAAGAAACATTCTCGCAAATTTTTTTGGATGAAAAGTTAGAATTGATACATTTCACATGAGACAGAGTAAATTCTTTTAGAGTGTAGTCTGGAATAGTAATATTTTATATGCCTCTTCCCTGCAAAAGTCCTTACCAGTAAAAATACATTTTCACAAAAGATCACACAGAATTACATTTATGGAAAGTGGAGTCTCACAAAAGTTTTACACAAAAACAACAGCTCTAGCAAAATATACCACATGCTGGGTTCGCAGATCGAAAGACTAGGTATCAGATTGTTCCCTAAACATCCATAATTCCTTGCTGCTCACCAGTGAGAGAGCAATTATTTACCATTCAGGTGAAACAGAAGGCCCGAAGCATTGGACTGTGCTTGCATAGTTGGGCAAAATCTCATTTCAAATTCCATTCCCATGGTATAAATTGGTGCTTCCGCAGTATGTGAACCAAGATGGCGGGCACTGGAACGTAGTATGTGTACCAGGTTAGGGTTAGGCCATACGGTAATTTTATTCAAATTTACCTCATTTCAGTTCTATTACGAGTTTGGGGACTAGCCAAGTGACTCTTGTAATATTTGTATGTGAAATTATGGCCTAACCCTAACCTGGTACACATACTATGCTCTGGTGTCCGCCATCTTGGTTCACATACTTCGGGAGTACCAATAAATTAGGTAGGCAATGTCGAATCGTATAGATTTTGATCTTTCTAAAAATATTCATCTCCCTGCTTATTATCATCTTGATTGGTAGGCATGTTGATAGATATTTGTCTGTTTGTTTGTTTGTTTCACTTTCGTATGTTACCCGATATCTCACGAAAGCAAGGTTGAATCTGCTCCAAATTTTGCATGTGCATTGATCTCAGACCAAAAGCCTATAGATTTTGGATGAATTATGCGAGTATAATTAGCGAGATATTGAATAATTAGTGATGGGACACTCGGTGTCGCTATTGAGTCAAAGCGGAGAAATCAAACCGCAGACCAATAAGTCGGCAGTCTTCGATCGCTATCTAGTTATTAGATATTAGTGGCGGCACTTACAGGGTCTAACCCAGAGCAGAAGAGGGCAATAACCATCAAATAAAAATACTTACCTCGTCATTTCACTGTTAACATGCACAAATCTAGGCGTATGAGCCCATGAGAATTTGTCATGGAGAAGAGTCTGACCATCGTTGGGAATTAGCCAACCAGAATTATTTGCATCAGACAGTGGAATGCGGTAAAGTTCATTAGGAGCTGAAAAATGAAAACCCGGCCACTAATTGAGGGTCAATTGAGAATTATTTTTTTAAATTAGTTGTGACACATAGAAATGTAGGGGATTTAAGATGAAACTGCAAGTAATGCGTTAAAAAATATCACTGTGAGAAAATTAAGACGAGTTAAACATACACAATACATGGTGAATTGCGTTCGGACTTGAAGTTTTCGATTTGAATTTTCAGGCATGTGAACTCAAGATAGTTGAAAGCACTGAATTAGCATGGACTACCCAATTTATTGCATTAGAAATAAACTGGTCACTGGCATGGACAAGATATCAAACGAATTTGATAAAAATATTCAAATTACTTCACCTAACGGCACCTTCACTTATTATCAATTTAAATCACTATACACTTGCAGGCGTCGCCATATTAATTACAATATTTTCAAGACTAAACCCCAACAACTGGGAAGTTATAATGCAAAATCAAGTTGAAGCGGTGTTTGAATTATCATGATAACAACTAGAAATACAGCTCTGGAATTACAGGGTGTCCATAAAGTCCTTTACAATTTTAGTTTTGTTATGAAGTCAGTTCTTAATATAACTTAACCAGGTTTGTTGGGTTTTTTTAATCAGTGATTGATTAAATATTTTTACTTCATTTAATACATGTGTGAGGGCCAAAACAATATACGGTATTGATATTTAAGACTTTGTGGACACGCTATACTTTAACTGGACCGATAGGCTCGTGCTGATTATTTTGGAGAATGTGCCATCAGGCCCATTACGCTGCTAACTATCCTTCCTGCCTGAGTTCGCTTGTTTGGATATTGATAATTATCTGCAAAGGTTTTGCAGGACACCCTACGAGCGCAGGGTAGTTTATGTTACTGCTAGTCAGTTATGGATTCCTCCACAATCCAAATCCATACATCTCGAACAAATAACTGGTGAAGTAACTATTTCTATATTTAACGTGGACTGGTAAGCAAACAAGAGACCATGGTTCATCATGTGATTGAGCCATGTTATCAGTTTTCCTCTTTCCACAAGAATGAATATAAAAACCCTATTCAATACTCACAATATCGTGATCGGACATGTTTCTTTAACAAAGTGATATGTTTCGAGTAACTCCTCTCATTCCCTTTCTCAGGATTTGTGTAGTTGTTGTAGTGATCGACTACTCGTCCTGTGTGCGGTATTGGTGGGAGACGAAGTGGCTTACTCTGGGAATCTGACAGTCCTGAATTGAAAAATATGGGAATTAGTGTAACAGAAATCCACTCTCACTGTGCCCTATATGCATTCCCTTTGACTATGAAATAAAAAAATGGAATGATCGCGAAACATAATTGGGGATATTAATATTTATTTATTCTAGAATTTGACAGATATGTTATTACCAGTTATAAATAGGAGGACGCAATCCCTTGCTTTGGGTATCTGATAGTAATCAATGAAAAAAATTAGTATTATTATAATTGTAATATCACTTACAAATTTTTTATAGCACCTATTTCTCCAAACACGGCCCTGTATAAGCTTCCACTGATATCTAACAATAAGCCACTAGATTTGATAGAGCCAGGAACATTTAGGTTTGGAATTATCAATTCAATTTATGGCTTTCCGAAGTGTGTGTACCAATATGGAAGTAACAATTTTGTTGGCCTTTTTACTTCAAGTAAAAGGTAAAGGGACTGAAACCTATGGGCAGGGGGATATTCTCTTGGCTAACCCATTCAGTCCCAGAACTTGTAATAGAAAAATTATGGCCTAATCCTGACCTGGTACACATACTACGAAAGTACCCAATTTATTACACCCTGAGTGAAGTGATTGGCATTGAATTTGACCAGAGAAAATCAGGCAGATATGAGTAAGAAGAGTTGACCGATTGCCTTTATTATTCAGGCCTACATGTTTATAAATTTTAAAAGGCATACACTACACATTTACGATAAAAAAATTGAATTTCATTCATAAAGGCAGAAATTTTTTTTTCTTGTAAGTGTGCATTTCTTTTCCCTGATAATTTGGCGCCGCACGAACAAAAATTTGGGGTTGCTTTAGTAGATTATATTATACTTTTCAGAGTTGACTCTCAAATATTTCAATTTCAACATTTTCTCAATTAGGCAGATCGTTACTGTAATTTAATCTACATTGATTAGAATTTGTTTTTCATTTACAGTTGGCACATCATGCAACAGGAACATGCTTGACATTGAACTGCTTAGTACTCTGTGTGGGTTTACTGGTTTGAATGCTGGGTGGTAGATTACTGCTTATTGCACACATAGTTTCAATCAGTTGAAGCAATCAACTAAATAACTATTTGCATGCTTGACCTATAATGTTGATTGGGTGAGAGGCCATAGTTTGCCATATGATTAAGCCAGTGTTTCCCAACCGAGTCCGCGGAGCGTTTGAATGAGTCCGCAACGAGCCAGAAATTCACTGCGGGCCGCAAACGTTTTTGCGAAATTTAGCTATCAGCCGAGTTACGATTTACGTTAGAATTTACATGAAACATAGAAAGCAAGTTCATTCACATAACATTAATCGAGTCAATAATTATTGGTTACTGAGAAGGTCTGGGCACATATATTCAAATATTCAACTACTAGAATAGCAATTTACAATTCAAAAATTTGATAACAGGTGACGCGAAAGGTCACTTGCGCGTCGCTTAATCAAACAATTGGATTTCACAACTCACTTGTGGATTTCCGACAAAAACACGAGTCGGCACACGCGTCAATAGATACATATCGAAAGTGGTGTTTCTCGCCAGTTTGAACAACGAAGAATTAATTTTTTTCGTGGTAGGTGTCAATGATGGCAACCCAAATATTCTAAATTGAACAGCGGCAATACTAAAAATAAAACGGAGAACACCATAAGTTTCATAATGGTCCGCGACCGATTGAAAACGCTCTTTTAGACATTGCAAATCGCAAAATTTCGGGTGCTACCGTAGTATATGTACCAGAGCATTTCCTTTATGATTCTTTGCTTCACTGTCTCCTTATTGGTACCTACAGTACTGGAGCACCGTAACATAGCATCAGTCATGTTTCATGGGATGAGCAGTTCACAAAAATAGAGTGCTTGACATAATCACTGGTCATGTTTTTATTATTCTATTCAGGATAAAATTTAGATTTAAAATAAACTAAGCAAATAAAGCCCACAGTAGTCCTTCTTTCATACTTTTTCTCGGTTCAGAGCCTTTATGGAAATGAATTTCACTGAACCATAAACTATTTTCATTACAGCATTAAACTGTGTGAATGTTCTACAGTACGACACAGTTTTTCGATTCCAAAAATAACCCCCACATTGAAAGACATCAATTATCACAGTGAGTGCAAACCCTTCCATTACGAGACAGCCTGGGCCTTCATATCAGTAAAAATCGGCAATTTGGTACTGTGCAATAAACGAAAAGGAAGCGCAATCTAAAAACGTCCGATCGAAATCTTTAAAAAAAAAGAAAAAGTGAAAAAAAAAAAAAGTGAATTGTCAGCCCAACAACCTGATATGAAAAGGTCTGTAGCACTTTTTATCAAAACTTTCAGTCTACAGTTTTATGAAAATATCAAGTTCAGATAAAACTATCAAAACTAAAAATGTGTTAAAACCTAGAGCAGACTAATGAAACAGTCAAAAAAAAATACCCATACTTTTCCCTATAAATTTAAACTCAGGGTAGCGCCATGGTAAATTACATTAATTACATTGGCGCGGCGGTGTGGCTCAACGGGCTAAGCGTTATGAATACGCTCGCCACCGCACCTCTAATTACTCGGCGTGGGTTCGAATCCCATGCAGGAATGGTTATGTGCGAGAGGATTGCTGGACTCCTCGCCGTCGTTGGGTGGTTCACGTAACCGCAGGTCGGTTACGGGCTTACGGCTTCCTCCACCACCAAGTCCAGGCTTCCGAAAACAAACAATAAAACTAATCCCATACCCGACTTGGAATGGTAACCGGACGAGAGGCCGTGGCTCGCCATATGGATAAGCCGTCTTATCGGCTTTCCTATTCCCGGGGATAAATATGTAAATCTTATTCTATCCTAGTCTGAAAGCCAACTGAATACCGAAATACATTTCGTCTTGCCAATGCTGCAATGCTAAAGATGAATTATTGCAACCATTCCTACCTGTGCTTGGTGGGGTATCTGGCTTTTCATAAAGACGAGATTTGATTGAATCTTGATATCCCAGTCCCGTCAGCCCAAAGAAAGACATCTTCGTACGATAAGTTTCGGGAAATCCGAGGCAGTGAGAAATTTTACTCAGGAAGGAAACCCTTACGTTGCTATGGTAATTAAGACAATGCTCGAACAAGTGCGCCATCGGGTGGAAATATTCCTTCAAGCCTATTTTAGATTTTCCACGACCTTTGACCCAGCAAAACTCTTACAATACTCCAGCACAGTAGTCCAGGGTTGTCGGCTCCGCGAACCACAAAATTATTTTTGCATTGTTCGCGGGCCACAATAGTGCTAGAGTAGGTAAACAGTGCAATACAAAACAAACACTTTTATTGTGCAAACACATAGTTATCAGGCAGAGTCATCCCAAGCTAATAGAATCCGCATTCGATTTTTAGTTTTCTATGATGCCAATGTTGTTAGCATATAATCCCGACCAAAAAGATACAAGCACATCATTTAACTTCGCTATAGTTGCTTGAGTTAGCCATAACACTAGACAGTTCAGTGACACCAGTGATGTAGCAATAGAGGACTTGCACGGGTCACGTGACCTTGTTTACTGGACGGCCAAAAAATAAAACAAAAACGTCCATTTGGCTCCTGTCAGTTGCAAGTCGGATTATACGTTTCCGTTTTGTTTGGCTGTTGAAAATGGTTATTTCGTATTGTTCCGCTGGCTGTACGTATAGTATAGACAACGAAATGGATCTTCAGTTATATTCCACTGTTTTCAAAAGATCCGGAACGTCGCGCAATGTGGATATCATATATTGGCAGGACGGCTTGGTGTCAAGTCCAGAAGCCATCTCACTTGTGTTTCACTGTTTGCGGACAGCACTTCGTTGGTGGTGAGTCATAATGTGCCGTTATCAATTTTTTAAATATTCATAAGCTCCCTCATTTCAATGGAAAGCAGATGACAAACTACTGTTATCGGTAGGCCTAGGCGTAGGCCTATATGCAGACTTGACTCGTGTAAGGTATTAATCAATAATTGCCATAAGGTATTGTTTCCCTAGTTAGCAGGTAATCTATTAGTAAGTGTGAAAAGTTGAATAGATAACTAAAGTTTGAATTCTCCATCCAAGAATACGCTCGTTACGCATCTCTGATCCCCATGGGAGTTTCACAGGTTCCAATTCCATGCGGGGTTAGTTATGTGCAAGGGGATTGCAGCTGTCCTCCCACTGAGGGTGGTTCACACGACCGCTGGTCGATTACGACATCCCCCACCATCAAGTCCATGCTTCTAAAACAAGTAACTGGCTAACTGTAACTAATCCCGACATAGAATGGTAATCGTACGATGTTGCACCTTGCAATCTGTCCCCAACCACAGATAAATTCAATCCTAAAAACTACCCACATTGGTAGGCATAGTTGCGTTTTAAATTGGAAGAAATCTTCATTAATGGTCAGAAGGTGTTGTCTGATTGTTACTTATCGATTTTAATTGGTAAGTATGTTGATAGGTATTTGTCTGTATGTATGTCTGTCTGTTAGATGCACGCGATATCTCACGAAGGCGTGGTTGAATCTGCTCCAAATTTTGCATGTGCATTCATCATATCTCGGACCAGAAGCCTATTGATTTTGGATGAATTATGTCGTATAATTAGCGAGTTATTAATTAATTAGTGATGAAGAGATCTTGATTTTACAAACTAAATGTGTGTGTGCGTGTCCGATGCGCAAGTTTTCACGCTAGTGAGTCAGAGCGAAGGATACACACCGCTAGATCGTATCTCGTGATCAATCTGTAAGCATTGTCTATATCTCTCTTGTAACTTTGACGTCGTCGCGATGCGCAAGTTTCCTTCGAGAAATTTTCCACGCTATTGAGTCAGAGCAAAGGATACACGCCGCGAGATCGTAGCTTGTTATTTATAATTACTCTTTAAAGTTTAAGCAATGTCCATATCCCTCTATCAGGTTCGGGGTTGCAGATTTCCTCACCAAAATATCGCTAGGCTGTGTTTGAATAGCCGTCGCAACCTGGGTTAGCGCCGATGTATTTGACACAAAATATAGGATTGGTAAATAGGCTATTGGCTGGAATTAATCGAAACAATCCAGTTCGGATTTGCAGAATTGTTCATAAAAGTATTTCCTCGAGTAGTATTTCGACGACGACATGGGTAGTTGGCTATTGTTTCCTACATTTTTGATATTGGCTGAAAACTAATCGAAACAATCCAGTTCGGGTTTGCAGAATTTTTCGAATCGAAACCGCAGTTTCTATTTTGGGGGATCCCCTAACTTTCGATCGATAAGTCTTCGGTCTCTGATCGATATTCTCGTTTTATTAGTTAGCAGGTAATTTATTACTGATCTGATACACAAACTTGGCACTTCAAATGATGATTAGTGATGATCTCCAGAGAGGAAGAGAATGGTTAGAAAAAGGGGGATTTTGAAGAAAGTCAAAAGGCAGGACCATTTCAACAAATTCTGTTAACTTGTATGCGTTGCAATATTACTTTGCAATTGTTAGCATAAACATTTAATGTGTGTTTCGACTAGACCTACCACACTTTAAAAAAAGCCGCCTACACCCTTTTTCACTAGAACCATAATACTGTAAAATATTTGATAGAAATTACCCCCCCCCCCCCCGAGGCATCATAGCTTCCATTTGAAAGGGCTGTGGAGGCAGATACATTTTTTACTCTAAATTATGGAATGTTAATTCCAGGTTATCTTATCTTTGCTTATAGATATCTTGAGGTCAGTGACTCCAACTGACCCATGCATGCCACACTGAAAATTTCTTGTGTACCGATAAAATTAGGCTGTTGGAGCCTTCAGACCTTGAAAACAGTCGAATCTGAGCATGATGAATTCATGTGAAACACGTAATATATATGCATTTATAGGCAAAAATATCCCATCCTGAGCAGCACCGATCCACAACCTCCTGCCTATGGAATCAAAATATTAGACAAATTGGTGTACTGTGCGCATTCGCAAATCTATGCGAATCAAGTGTGCCTTTTGACTAAAGAAAATTTAACATTGAAATGGTAAATCTCAATATCAACCTAGTATCTGCATATAAAACAAATTGTTTCTTAAAAATACATTTTTGATGTGCTTTATTTTTCAAATATAACTTATAATTACTGTAAAGTGTGTGATACATTTGGTACCATGAATACCATTTGCAAATTAGCTTGGGTTACACTCCTCTCAAAAGTTTAGACTCTTAAGTCATATCTCATAATAGTCTTTAAACAAAATGTTGCGGCTAGCCGGCTACCCAGCAGAATTTTCTTTCAGATCACAAAGTCGCAATATTACGCCTCGCTAAGTTGCATTGGCACCTGTATCTGGTTGTAGTTTCGGTGTCCAACTTTAGACTGAAACCTTCACTACCAGACCCACCGAAACACTTTTAATTTTTTCTTCTTGATAGGGTCGTCTTGAAGTTGCTTTCGTTAAAGCACAATGGGCACTTTATCTCCACCAATCCACAGTAATCACAAGTTACTTTGTCATTACGATAAGCATCAATAAATTGATACTGAGGATGTATTAACAAGTCACGCAAGCTGAGGTCTTGTGCCAACTGTGGTCTTGTTGCAACTTATACTTTGCCGATCATCTATTCCATGGTCGCACCATATCTGTAAGGATAATGGATTTTTACAGATTAGAAAAGTTTTCATAAAATCTAACGAGCAAGTGGTGTGAAATTTATGTCCATATCCCACCACACACTAGACGTAAATGAATTTGATTCCGGGTAGCATATCTTTTTTACCAATGACAATAAAAGACATTTTGGATCAGTTGTACAAGCACCTTTAGGATAGGATTTATCGGGGGGGGGGGGGGGGGAGGCAGTTATTTGTTTTCAGAAGCATGGACAGGGTGATCAGAGATGCGGTGGCGAGCGTACCGATGGCGTCAATTGAATTCTGGTTATTGCATGACCAATAGATTACCTGCTAATTAGGGAAACAATACTTATAGCAATTGATTATTAATTCCTTACTGTCTTACACAATTCAAGTCTGCAACTGCAGTAGGCCTACGCCTAGGCCTACTAATACAGTAGTTTGTCATCTGCTTCCCATTGAAATGAGGGAGCTTGTGAATATTTAAAGAAATTGATAACGGCACATTATCTCTCATCATCAACGAAGTGCTGACCGCAAACAGTGAAACACAAGTGAGATGGCTTCTGGACTTGACACCAAGCAGTCCCGCCAATAGATGATATCCACATTGCGCGACGTTCCGGATCTTTTGAAATCAGTGGAATATTTCTGAAGATCCATTTCGTTGTCTATAGCTATACGTACAGCCAACGGAACAATACGAAATAACCATTTTCAACAGCCAAACAAAACGGAAACGTATAATCCGACTTGCAACTGACAGGAGCCAAATGGACGTTTTTGTTTTATTGCCGTCCAGTAACAAAGTCACGTGACCCGTGCAAGTCCTATTATGTCAAAAGATTTTTCCGATTAATTTTATGACGAAACAACACGAAATGCGATTTTTTGATTACACTCCGATTGTCACCCGGGCCACAGATAATGAAGCGAGGGGTCAAATGTGGTCCGCGGGCCTGGGTTTGGAACACCCTGCTTTAGCAGTTTACCGTTACAAAATATTAGCGAGGGGTCCAGAAATAACCCGCAGGATTCGAACTTGCAAAGTGCGTCGGGTAATCATAGATGTGATGCAAAGGGTTTCCCTGTCGCTTGGAACGATACGCAAATATTTTTGAAAATTGAGATATTTTGGACTTTATTGTCACTACTACACTGTTAAAAATTTTTACATGGAATTCCATGGCAGCAATTTTTATGGTATTTTCCGCTTAAAATAACTCAATTTACCTTGTAAAAATTACAGGACAATCCCGTTTTCACAGCCCAAATTGCAGGGAATTCCCAGTAATATTTATCTGACTTTCCGAGTTGATTTCACCTTAATTCCAAGTGAAACCGACCTGCTTTTTCCTGTATAAGGAGTACACGACTTGCATGTATACTTGACATGGATGTTCGTGTAAACTGCGTGATAGAATTTCCCTGTATATTCTATTACATGGAATTCCGTGGCAGCAATTAAAACTTGGAATTCCGTGTATTCTCTAAGTAACACCCAAT